TCCTTTTCGGCGGACCCTCCTTTTCGACCCTACTTATCGCTAACTACATATCCTCCAGCGGGGAGGAAGGACTCGTGTTCCTGACCCGTCGTCGGGTGGTCCTAAGGAGTGCGAAACGGAAGCACTGGTGGGGGGGGGGGGGGGTCCGCCCTGGTGTCGGACCTGGACCTACTAATGCAGCCCTGAACAGCATCACCACGTCCGACCACTCATGTAGCCGGCACGTGCTCGGGACCAGAGAGGGCCCCGCCCGCCCCCGCACCGCCCGGGAGCTTTCCCCGAGGCTCCCGCCGATGGCGCCGGGTCTCGTCCACGCTCACCACTTGCTTGTTGTGCGCCACGCCGCGCCACGCCGTATGACCCCGCTACTATCGGGGCGCGCGGCGCGGTATGGGCGCGCCTCGAGACCGCCGTAACTGCGCGGTCCTGTCGCCGCAGTTGTGGCGCACCGCCCCGCCGGCGGCGCCCTGGCCCGCGAGCACGTCCATCAGATACGCGGCCGCGCCGCAAACACCGTGCCGGCGGCGGCGCCACGACGACTAGGCTGCCCACCCCCGCCTCTTGCTATAACTCGTCCTTCCTGCTTCCTGCACAGTTTTGGAGCTGTGTGTTTTTCTCCTCCGACGTTGTTTTTTCGGCCCCTAATTGCCGGACTAGGGCTTGACGGGCTTGACGAGAAGGCGGGCGAGATGAGCGTCCTTGGTGACACGCTCGGCCGCCTGGCCTGGAGCGGACGCCGCCGCCTCTGAAAACGGAAGCCTACGACATCCGTGCTAAAAAGGCAGGTCCACCGGGATCCCCTGATCTCTACGCCTAAGTGAACTGAACAGCCCCTTGTCCAGGTGACCTCTGGACGCGCACGCGATCTTCGTGCATCATTACTCATCGAGCATCGCGCCGGGCGCCGCCGCCGGGTCTCTGCTCCGGAAACTGGCCGAGCTGCCAAACATTCTCCAGCGCTCAAGCCCGTCCAGCTCCAGTCAGCTGTGTTTGCCGGATGGGGACAGACTACACCTACTACACCCGTTAGTGAAAGGATGCTAGATTTGTAGTCTGGCGTGTGCGTCGCGCTTGTAAGAGCAAAAATAAAATATCTCAGATAGGAAATTGCAAACATTTAATAATAACAATATTTAACAGAAGAATGTTTTTAACATTCAATTAACCGATCACTATTAACCAATAACAAACAATTAAAAATGGAAGCAGGCAAGATATGTAAATTAAACACAAGTTCAACAAGAGATAATAAATTCAACAATCTAGTTTCCGTTCAAGTCTAATCCTCACATTTCGTCTTCATATTCAGAAGTCGTAAGGTCCAGATCCAAAGAGTTATCTATCCTTGCATCGACAACGTCACGTTTAACACATGATGCAGTAAAGTCTTCTTCTTCATTGTCTGATAGTGTTAAATCTATAACTATGTGTTCTTCCCTTTTCCTCTTGTGGATGTTGGAGATATGAGCCTTTAGATTATCATTCCTGCAATGAAAGGCATAGAGAGACTACAGGACTGATATCTTTCAAGTAACAATACAGCTGAGTTATCCATTTATCTGGATTATGTTGTTTTCATTGGATAAGATAATTTCACATACCTTCTAAATCTTCTTTTACAATATTGACAAGTGTAACAGGAAGAATGTTCTTTTTCATGCCTCGACAGGGCTGCCCAGGTTGCAAATGATTTAGGGCACTTCTTGCAATGATAGGGGCGCTCCCCAGTGTGTGTCCTGTAAGAAAAAAACAAGCAAGGATTAACTTAAATATCTAAAGTAAGAGAAAAACTCATTATATCACAAACTATAACTACCTCACGTGATCATTGCGATTTGCAGCTTTGGCAAACGTTCGTTCACAAAAGCCGCAATTGAACGGCCTCTCACCGGTGTGAGTACGTAAATGATTCTTCAGAGACGAACTCTGATTAAACTTCCTCCCACAATAGACACAATCAAAAGGTTTTTCTCCTGTGTGGATAAGTGTGTGCCTTTCGAGTTTAAGTTGGCTCCCAAACTCTTTCCCACAAAATGAACATTCACCTGATGACCTGGAAAACCCACCCAAAAGTTGTATTTCCTGCTTATCAGAATGGTATACACAAAATTTTAATAATTCATAAAACTACCTGCATAATGGAGTT